CTAAATTAACTCCTATAAATCAAATAGAATTTCGTAAATTGCATAAACAATTATGAACAAAACAGTATCATGTATTTATGTATTGCTTAATACAAAGAACCGAAGTGCCATTCACAGAGACTGCATTTAAAAACATAAGAGACGCAGTGAAAAGGAATAAACCTCCACAAATTCGCGACGTGTTTTCTAAAAGTTTAAACTGTTTTAACTTTGCATGGCTACATCTCTTGTGTGAGACGCGAGTGCAGCAGTCATATTTGTCCGTCTAAAAAATGCGCTGAATATGCATTCTGTGTGAATGACTTGGTTTCGGTTTTAACCCATTCAAGATCTTCTCCGCATTGAGCTTCTATGTTTCTCTAATATTTTGAATGAATAACGCAGCAGCGGCGCGTCTCGTGGGCTAGACTAACAAAACATTAAAATGCAACAACGTCACTTACATCATCATCATCACCGCATCTTGTGTGCCACTGATGACACTCCCTGATGCACACCTAACATTCAAATGCAAATGTTTATTTTAAATTCGACTAATATAAATTTTTTTTATTCACAATCTCCTCATCACAGCCAGGCACAGCACTGATGTTCGTGTTTGTGTGTGCTGTCTGCGTCACTCAGAGCAGGTGCCTATATCGTGCACTATATCGAACATTTTTTATATCGTTATCGAAGAAGGTGTACCGTCGATAAATATCGATACCGTTTTATCGCCAAGGCCTAATCCAGCCGCTTGTTATCGGTGCATAAACTCCGACTGGGAGATCAGGGTAAACAACTGGAAGCTTAGTCTCTCTGAATTTATACTTTGTATAAAATACAGAAATTCATAGTTTGAACAAAAACAACTTTCTAACAAGTTCTAAGTGCTGAGAGAATTTGAGTATTAAAATGTTAGAATTTGTAGAATTATTGTTTATGATAACATGAAAATTATTTTATATATTGCACATTTATTGCACATGATTCCTAGAGTAGGACATTTACATTTAGACTTTGTGTGGTTTTCAATATTTAATAAATACAGAACAACATTCAGCAAGAATATTAATAAATACAGGGAATTCAAATAGATCATATCATTTCTTTCATCAAATAATTATTTAACATAAACTAACGTGTTACTAAAATAACATTCATTTGTTCATGGCTTATTATAACACATAAAATGTTGTCATATGATGCTATTACGTCATTCCTTTATTTCCTTTGGATCCTTTATTTCCAAGGTGCTGTATATGTGGAAGAATTGCCAATAAAGCAGACTTGACTTGACTTGACTTGATTCCCTTTGCATCCTCACTGTTGGTTAAATCAGTGGTTGAGACGGCCATTGGTCTATGCATCACTGTAGCTCTTATTCCACAACACTTACTTTACTGAAAGTTGCTTTCAGTTTCTTTATAAAAAGCTTTTATTCTTAGACAAGTTTTACTTCTTAGAAAGAAATGTGATTCATAAGTCACAGCGTAAGACTTTTCTTTCTGAGAAGTTTTATGCATATGGCCCCAGATGTCCAGCAGATTCACTTACAGCATGCTTTGTGAAAGCCAACCCTTCTCCAGGAGCTAGTTAGTGTTAGGTAAAGGAGAGGTAGGCTATTAGTTATTGTCAGTGACTTCACAGGCAGCGTTTGTGTTGGAAGGGACCTCCTGTAACTGATTTTAGATTTGTCGATAACAATAGATGATATTTTGCTGGGTCTGATATTTGTGCTGCTACCTTGGCTTTAGGCTTTTCATGGATGGCTGACACCTTAAGATTTTTTATATTCTTCCTATTTTTTGCACTGGTTACTTCACAGCAGTGATTTCCAGACCTTTGTCCTTTAGGCCCCCTCCTTACGTATGTGACCTTGTGTCTTAAGTGTCAATTTTTTGAAACAATAGGACAATATTTGGTCTAGATACAACTATTTGAAAATCTGGAATCTGAGGGTGCAAAAAATCTAAATATTGAGAAAATCGTCTTTAAAGTTGTCCAAATGAAGTTCTTAGCAATGCAATCTTGGTTTTGATCTTGATCAAATCATCAGTTTGTGGTGTTCAAAACTTTTTAGTGAGATTGGGATACCTTTGATCCAAAAAAAATCAGGATCATATGGATAACATGTTACTTTTGTAACATGTAATATATCCCCAAACAGCTGTCAATATAATAAACAAAAATACTATATATAATTTAAACTGTTTTGATTAAATCACCGTTTGTAAACTACATGGGCACAATCATCAGAGATGAACCAGTAAGAAGTAGTTATTTGTGTAAATGCAATGCAAAACGTTTCTGAGAGGATGCAAAAGCATTGACATATTTTGTTTTCCATCTCATATGTTTTTTTTTCCATCAGCATGTCCCTTTAGGGGCTCTGTAGAGCACTAGTAATCCAGATTTGGTAATCTGAAAAAGTGTGTTTCTGGATCATTGTGATCCAATCCAATTTTGCTTTGAAAAACCAGCAGAAAAGTTAGATGGATTACCTGATCCTGGATAGCAAAACATGGGATTTCCAAATCCAGATCATTCTGATCCAGATTAAACTTTTTGAACATCTGGCCCTCTGAGTATTCATAGAAACTTGAGTTACTTGAAACTTGAAAGTTTTGTTTTTTGTTTTTTCATCCATAATAGTTCATATAAGAAAGTATAAGACCCCTGATTGGGAAAAACTGGTTCATGCATCATCATCCTCTTTCAGATTCTTACATTTTAATAAATTCACATAGAATACAAATACAATATAGCAGGGTTCCTCAATAGGTGGCCCGTGAGAGAAAAAAGATTGACCCGCGCTAATTTCAAATAATGTGGCATGAAAATTCAAACGCAGCATCAGAAAGCTACATTAGCTTACATTGTGTCTACACCGGACGCGAGCGGCTCGGCTCGGCGCAACGCAATAAAATACAAGAACTGGTTATAATCAGTGATGCTGTCTTGGATGCGACGCGACACGACAAATCCCCGACAGTAAACTGCTGACTCGTTCTATTTATAACGTACTGACACAACGTTCAAATGATTTGCAATGCTTTGTCGTGTCCAGTGTAGATACGATGTGACAGAACAAACATGGCGAGTGTGTAGAAAAGAAAAGTGGACACGGAAAATAGATTCAAATGTGAATGGACTGAACAGTTTTGAGTGAGTGAGTGATATCTTTATGGAATACACGTGTTGGTTCACAGTTTTAACGTACAAGTTTGCTTTAATTTATTTTCAAGATCTGAGGTAAAATATCTATTGTTGGCTTTCATTATGGCTATAAAGATAACGCAAAATATTCAAACTCACATTAGACACTTTTAACATTTAATAAAGCACATAATCATTACCTGAGATTATCAATGTACTATTTTGCATGTTGTTCCTGCCGCAACGTGCAGAAAATAAAAACCGTTCCTAAAATAGAATCCCATGTCTCTAATTGTCACGTGGCGCTGTCGTGGGTGGTTAGGACACAAACTACATGGAAAAGATACTTTTTAGCGCGTCGTGTCTGGTTGGGACAAACGGTGTTACAGTTTGATCCCCCCCAAAAAATCTAAGCATAAAAATATTAATACTGACAAATCTAATAATTGAATCTGCAATTAGGGAAAGTGGACAGAAGAGATCCAGTCTGGGAATGAGCAGGAACAGTTGATTTGCATGTCAGACATGGAGATCTAGATTTTTTGTTTGTTCATTTGTTTTTAACATTCAACAGGCAAAGTTCTTCTGTATCTAAATGCAAAAATGTTCATAATTGTTTGAATAAAATCAAAAGGGTTCTTTCTCCTTATTGAACCTGTTTGGCATAAAGGGTTCTTTGGATTTGAGTAAAGAACCCTAGGGTTCTATATAGAACCCCAATGAACCTTTTTTCTTTAAGAGTGTAGGGCTGTTTTTAATAATTTTTGCTGGCGAAATAGAGCGCAGAAAATATTGTCCAAAACTCAACTAATATTAACTCAATATTAAAATCTTATTTATTGGAATATGCAATGTCATTTTTGCAACCATGTTGATATTCTAGAAAAACATATAAAATTGGACATTTTCCCAAGATTTGTCTCCGTGTGCTAATGCCATTGGTTCTTTTCATTTGTGATGCTGTCTCAGAAGGTAGCAGCCTATGTAGGCGGTGGACATCACTAGGTTTTGGAACATGTTTTCTCCACTTCTTATTTCTTAAAGGAGTGAGCTGCTTCCATCTTACAGACCTTTTCTTCTCTGTGCTTTGTTGTTCATGTTACCTTCTTCTCCTCCCTTTTTCTTTCTTTCTTTCTTCACTCTATCATCTCCCTTCCCGTGTTTTGTCCTCTGGCATGCAGCTATGAGTCGTCAGACGAGGTTTTGCCCCACACGCCGCGGCTCACTCATTTCCCCACTGTGTCTGGCTCTCCAGCTAGTCTGGCTAACTCCATGCAGAGTTTTGGCCTGTCGACCCCCCGCCGTCGCCGGCACACACCCTCCGACATGTAACGACTGAATTCTTCTTTTCCATTACTGTGCAGGTATCGCCCTTGATAATTCAACTGAACTTTCCTGATCTTTTCCTCTCAACATCCTCACAAAATTCAGGGTCATTTAAAGTACAGTACCTCCATGAGCTTCATTTTGTTATGCTCCTAGTTGGCCTCTCTTAGTGCGTCATGAGATTATGCACTGCCTCGAGTGGTTTCTCACCTGTTTAAAATGACAGCAATGTAAGACCGCAGTGTTCCATCCATTTACCTGTAGTTCTGTCTTCAGTGAGCACTGAACCTTGTCATGGCAACTTTTACAACTTCTTGATGTCTGTTTGTTTCCTGTCCTGCCTCATGGGTTTCCTTGTCATCAGTGTACACCTGTCACTCGTGTCCACAACAGCAGACATTCATTTATCAAAAAGGCGCAAATCACATGAAATATAGGGACAGAGCAGCCCGGCACCTTTCTCTATTTTTATCCATATTTATTAATATTGATTGCCTCCCCAATCACGCTTGACTTAATTCTTGTGTCTCCTGCAGATACGAAGAGTCTTCACCAGAGGAGGCGTCATCGAAAGAGGAAATAACAGAATCTGATAAAGACAAATAAAAATGCTAATTGAGCTCTCATTCATGTCCTACATTTGTTTGTCCTAGTGATGTGGTCATGTTCGGAGTCTGCTCATGGCAGTCACATGTTCTGTACTTTTTAACTTTATTTTAATGATGTACAACAGCTTTCTCAGTGCCTGTGTATTCTCCTTGTTCCTTTTGTTCATTTCATTGCCTTCAACATTCATATTTAAAAATTTGATTGGCTATTTGCTTTCAGAGGTTTTTTTTTTTATTATTGTTATAATACAGTATTTGAACAGGGTAGAAGTTAGGCTCTCTGAATGTCAGATTGCTATAAACATTTATTAATAATCTGATGTCACAACATTCCTGTGTAGCTGGTTTCTGTTATTAGTTTTACACTAGGATCTCATAAAAGATTCAATTTGTGAAACACAAGTAATTGTCCGTATTTTATTACATGAAAGGGCAAAAACATTTTGGATTAAATATTTTTACTTTATGCAAGTGTAAACAAAAGTGGGACCAAATATCTCCCTAGCAAGTGATGGTAGTGTTTACATGTTTTCTGGATGTAGTTGAATGGTTCTGAGTTTAGTTTTCTGTATTTGCCATATTTGTTTGTACACCTCATGCTTCGCTTGGTAACCATCATTTTACAGTCGTCTCTGGTGTAATCTTTCTTTCCTCAATGTAAAAGTTTAAGCTTATGTGAGGAGCATTTCTTCCTCAGTTTAGCTTTTTATTTGCATTAAACTGTGGTGTTTACCACTGTAGAAAAGCATATTACCTTTGTGTGCTTGACTATTTTTCACACTGTAAAATGAGTAATGATCATAACTTTGCACATTTATGCTATGTGTATTATGTATTATATTTTTTATAGGCCTATGCAAATGTGAAATTTTGACCACCATTTTAAATTCATTGTTAACCATAATTATATTTTAGCATTACAAATACTACTGTGACTAAAGAGCATACTCATACTGGTAGATTAACCATTACAGAAACATAAATTATGTTGGTAATCACCAATACTGTTAGTTTAGGGCAGCTGTGGCACAAACCTTACATTGGATGGTGGTGGTCTAATAAATTTTAGCACTGTATATATATGACAGTATATAAACACAATAAACAAAATGGACAATATATGTATGTTATGTACAAATGCAAAGAATATGTGATTAAAATGAGAATAAGAGGTATGGTGTGCCAGGAAAAAAAAATGGTGTTGTGAATCACACACATTGGGGGCATTTAACCAAAGTAGATGGCCTGAGGAAAGAAACTCATTTTGTGCCTGGCTGTTTTTAGTGCCGTGTAGCGCCAACCAGATGGCAACAGTTCAAAGAGGAGGTGGTCTGGATGTGTGGGGTCCAGAGTGATTTTACCAGGCCTTTTAATCACTCTGGATATGTACAGGTCTCGCAAAGTGGGAAGGGATGCACCGATGATTCTCTCAGCAGTCTGGACTATCCTCTGAGGTCTGATTGGATTGCTGAGAGGATTATTGGTGCCCCACTGCCCAACATCCAGGATCTTTACACTTCCAGAGTGAGGAAAGGGGCTGGTAAAATCACTCTGGACCCCACACCCAGCACACTCCCTCTTTGAACTGTTGCCCTCTGGTCAGCGCAGCAGAGCACTGAGCGCCAAAACAACCAGACACAAGAACGGGGTATTCCAAAAAGCAGGTTATGTGACATACCCAGGTATGTTTGAGGATAAGCGAGCGGATAACCTCAGCTTTCGGTTCCAAAATCGGAGGTTACTTTCAGGGTAAGTAACCATAGTAACTTGCTCTCTGAAGATAACCTGCTCCGGAGCAGCTTCTGTTCCAGGGTTAGTTCGCTTCAGCGCACGTGTGATCTACTGACGAGCCTTCAGTGGGCCTGACAGATAGCGCAAAATACAATGCAATATAGCCTACTATATATATATATATTTGTATGATATGTTAATGATGAAGCACTAATATAAGTAATAAGGTAATATTATTCTAATATGGTTATTATATTTATTTTAGTGGCATATTTAACAGTTATCTATAAATTATAAAACACTATGACAAGGTAATGTTTATTATATATATTTATTTATTACATTTTATATTATCATCTCACACATGGATCGGCATTTTCTATAATGTCTAAATTCTAAATCAAAATACATCTGATATGACTTAATATATAATTAGCATCAAACAATATAATTCTCAAGGATTAAAGATTAAACGGGGAAAAAATTTTAAAATGATTGCACAACCATCGATTAGGTGGCGATATGCACTAAGCATGTAAACGACCTTTGAACAAAAGAAGAAGAAAGAAACCGCATGGCGCCCTTTTTCTTAGCGTCTGTTTCCATAGTGATTCGTCGCTCTGTTGAGAATGTCTTGAGTCTTAACCAGGAACATACTCCCGGACGCGTTTTTGGAACCACATACCTCGAGTAAACAAAGTTTGGGGTTAATCAACCAGAAGTTCAGGGTTTAGCTAATGGTAAGTAAACCGTGCTTTCTGGAATACACCCCAGTTTTTCCCGCAGGCCATATCCCACCTGAACAACACATAACACACCTCAGGACTGTACATCTGTAAATAACTCATCAAAACTTTGCATATGTGCAAAAATAGCACATATGCACATTCACAATTCTGTCTACTGACATTTTTTTCTTTTTCTCTATATTTTATTATTATATTATTTATAATTATTGTCTATTCTCTTTATTATTTGTGTTTTTATTACTTTCTATTATATGTATGTCTGCATTGTGTTTGTAATTTCTGTACTGGAAGCTTCTGACACCAAGACAAATTCCTTGTGTGTGTAAACACACTTGGCAATAAAGCTCTTTCTGATCCTGATTTGGTTGCCGAGCCAAACCAGACAGTTGCAGAGTGCAGAGGACAGACACTATGACTGCAGAAACAGCACCTGTGGCAGGTTGAACTTACTCAGCTGGCAAAGGAAATACAGTACAACCTCTGCTGGGCCTTTTTCGCAACTGAGCCTATATGAGTGTCTCGTTTCAGGTCCTGTGAGATGGTGATGCCGAGAAATCTGAATGACGCCACTGTTGCCACAGTGCCGTTCATGATGGTGAGTGGAGTGCTGGGGTGTTTCTCATAAGGTCTATGAATTTACCTCAGAAGAAGAATGCGATGCGACGTGCAGCTTGATCCAATGAAGGATATCATTTCTGACGAGTAAAGATTTTATTCTTTCCTACATTAGTTAACGTGTTATTGTTACATAAACCTGTACACATTTTACTAGTTGAGCATTTCCCAAACTAAATTGCCAGACAAAAATGTGTGAAATCAAGTGAAACATTTTGAAATATGATAGGCAACCTTTCATTGCATCTAAATGTTGTACAACATGAGGATGATTTTATGCTCTAATATAAAACCAATACGATATAAAAGTAATGCATTTACACTGTAACAATGCGAGAGGTCCCAGTTTCAAATCCCAGACGAGCCCCCAATTTGTTACATCCTCCATTCTAGTCTAGATGTTTTGTGGGAGGCGGTAACAGAAAAGTACATTAAAATGGATTAAAGTAATATTAAAGGGTAAAAGAGAACAAGGAGAACACACTTCAGTCCTCAGCCCCAGACTGAAAACTCGACATGATTCTTTTAAAAGGGAAAGATAACTGACATGTATTAAGTGTAAAGCTTAAGCTGACAGAAGCCAGGGTCTCAATCAGAGTGAGTATAGCCTAAAATAAACAAAACACAGCTAAAGATTAGAGGAGCTGACCAACCTATACACAAAACAAAGATGAATACCAACAACAGAGACTTCCCTGAGCTCCCTCTCTTACCAATAACCAGGAGAAAAGGCATACAAAAATAAACAAGGCACTCACTCTCTTTGAAGTAGTTACTTGAAGCACTATGTGCAAGTTAATTTTTAAGTTAAAGAATATACACCTTTTACTTACCCACACAAGCTAGGCAAGCTAGTTAACAACACACAGAAAGTTGTTAGGAATGATTGTCACAATACCTTTATAGTTACCCACACATGGATTAACTATTAAGCAGCACACACAATTGGCAATGAGAATCAGTTCCTATATACAACAGAACTACTAGCAGGAGCAAACACAAGAACTTTCAGTCAAGAGCTGGAGAGAAGTGTTCCTCAGCATAGCAGCTTCTGAAGGCTACATTTATACCTCAAACATGCTCACAACGAGTGGCAGCTGGGGGTAATTAACCTGAGAGCGAGAGACGGAGCACAGCACACAACACAAGGTGAAAGGCTTATATTTATAATTAAGAATATCTTAGGCCCTGTCCACACGAACGCGGTTAAAACTCCTGCCAGGGTGCAGATTTTCAAAAACTCCGGTTGCAGTGTTATCGTGTAGACAGCGAAACCGGAGTTTTTAGCTTGTGACGTCAGAGCCTGCGCTGTTATCTCCGCCTGCTGGAAACTTTTTAAGGCTTCTGATTGGCCAACATGGCTTTACGGTTGAGATTAGGGCTGCACGATAAATCGCATGCGATATTTAACGCGCATCTTGTCAGTAAAGCTATTCTGTAATCAGCGGTAAATCTCCATCACGTGCGGGCTTTCACATGGAGCAGCATTAATTACACAGAGCCGTTATTCACCGACAAGCTGGTCAAAATATGATCGTCGGTTTGCGCAGCTTGTCGGTGAACAACGGCTCTGTGTAGTTAATGCTGCTCCATGTGAAAGCACGCAGGTGATGTAGATTTACCGCTGATTAAAGAACCGGCTTTACTGACAAGATGCGCGTTAAATATCGCATGCGATTTATCGTGCAGCCCTAGTTGAGATTATGTCACCACCTGTTGGTTTGGCATGCTCTTGACAGTGCTTCATAGCATGCGTTTGCGTTTTCATGTGGAAGTAGATTTTTTTTTAAACGGAAGAAGGAAAGTGTTTACTGTGAAATTCTCTGTTCGTTAAAATCTTCTCAAACATAGATGTTTATGACATGCTTAAGAATAATAATTTAGTTTCTCAGATATAAAATGCTGTTTTTGTAATGTATAATACATACAAAGCATGTGTATGTCTCCAGGGCCCCAAAAGCCCCTCAGACACCAGAGGGGCCTAAACTTCTCTATTTTATATCTGAGAATGCATTTTAGTCTGATGTGAACAGTAAGAGACATACTGCAGGGTCAGCAAATCTGATAAGGCAGCATTAATGGTTACCGAAATACGTTACCCCCTCCATTTCAGATAAAATTCTCCAAATTTACACTGATGATGTCTAAATTTCTCTATTTTATATCCTAGAAAGCATTTGGGTCTGATGTGAACAGCAACATACAGTACATACACCAGTTATATCTGACAGGCAGCGTAACAGCTTAATCGGAACACTGTGACCATTGTATTCTGTGAGCATAGCAGGCGCTGTTATCACTGTGCAGCTTGAACTTGATCACACACAGTTCGGTACTCAAACAGCAGTTCAGACTATAAGTAAACAAAGATGAAGGCTTTTTATTTTACTCTTTGGTTTATTTATTAATTTATTACTACTTTTACTTTGTAGCAAATTAGCTCAAAAGGGAAATATTTATAATTAATTATAACTGGTTATAATTAATAATAAATATTTAGATTAGATCTTAGAATTAACTGTAGAATCAATATTACAATTATTTGATCTGTCTGTATATTGTGAGCAGACAATATAATCATTTATCAACTCTAGGAAAGGTTATTTTCCTGGCCAAGGAAGAGTAGCTTTCCTATTTTATGCAGTACTAGCAGTA